CTAGTGTGCGGACCATTTTTCATTTCTATAGTGCTCTGTGAACACAAATTAGTTAGCATAAATCATTTAAATGACGAAAAATTAGGTGTCTATTTACTTGTTACCACTCAGTGTACATAGTAAGGAATAAAGGATAGAACTTTCCAATCAAAATGTTATATAAAATATACAATGGAATCCTTCCCATCCAAACATTAAGCCTAAAAATTCAACATCCAACTTTGACTAAAGCTAAATGCTGACGAAGATTCTTGACAAACATTCATTACTAAACTAGAAATCATTTTCTACTTTTAACACCGTCTCTGCCACTGTAGTCTAGTCACACATTTGTCTTGAATAACTTCTAGATACGCATTGGCATCACGCGTTCACAAAAATAGTGCAAATTAAACAATTGTAAACAGGAGGTGAAGATTTGTAGCATCAGAGAGAATGTGTAAAAATTAAGACTGAGGTGGTATGTGCAATGGATGGATGAGGATAGTTTGGTGAAATGGGCAACAGAGGGGAAATTGAAAAGTAAGCGGTGGAGATGGAATCCGAGAAGAGATGGAAGGATTGTATTAAAGAGGACAGTAGTCAAGTAGACCTTAGTGTGGTGAACAATAGGTTTACGTAGAGAAGGATCACGAGACACTCTGATACAGGCGCCAACAGATTGGTTTGGTTTGTTTTGAATTTCGCACAAAGCTTCACGATAGCTATCTGCGCTTGGCGTCCCTCATTTAGCAGTAAAAAACCAGAGGGAAGGCAGCTAGTTATCATCACCCACCGCCAACTCTTGAGCTACTCTTTTTACCAACGAATAGTGGGATTGACCATCATATTATAACGTACCAACGGCTGAAAGGGCGAGCATGTTTGGTGGGAAGGGGATTTGAACCCGCGACCCTGAGATTGCGAGTCAAGCACCCTAACCACTTGGCCATGCTGTGACCCGCAGAGAGAGAGAGTGATCGTCAAAAATAAATGGAAATTGTCACAAATTGGAATTGGAGAGATTTCAAATTTCAAAAAATCTTCAGCTTCTCAGAAATAGGGCAAACCTCACTCTCAGACTCTTCCACATTCTTTCATTCAGACCCCATCCCTTTTGGAAAATCCTGGATCCTCCCCGAGACAATACCACCTATCTCCAACTCTTGAGCTACTATTATCAAAGTTAGTAGAATAATCTGACTGCCACTTTTATAACGCACCTATGTGCCTAAGTAAGGCGCACAATATTTTTCTTTTGGCGGTAATTGATCGCGAACCTTAGATTCACAGTCCAGAACGTTTACCTTTAAGCCGCACTCATACTAGGAATAGTGAGCAATACAGTGTTGTTTTTTAATCTCGATTTTTTCAAGAAAATAAAGTAAAAACCTTTTTTTTTTGTAAAGGATTTTTTAAAAATTCACCACATTTCAAAAAGTCTGTCTACAAACCCAGAGAGAACAAGAACCTTCTGTTACTAAGTTTTTCGATTTTGTTTATTTAATTATTTTACTATCTTACCTTAATTTTGCATTTCAAAGTTCAGAAACACGTTTGGTATTACTTAAACACATAAATTTTCTGATTTATTTCTTTATAATCGTTCTTTTTTCATATAAATAATTAATTTCTTGTAAGAACATAAAATACAAACAAGTACAAACACAACTGTATTTTATATATTGTACTAGGGTAGTTCTTCGATGTAGCACATGACTGGAAAATATTCAGGATCCGCATTTTCTCTTTCCGAGTTTTAAACATCTCCTGGTAGGACAGCGGTAAGTTTATGGACAAGCAACGCTAAAATCCAGGGTTAAATTTCCCGCAGTGGACATACCAGATAGCCCCATGTGGCTTTGCTATAAAACAAACACACACTTTTAGCCCCTAGTGGATCAGCAGTGAATCTGAAAACTTATAATGCTAAAAACCGGGTTTTGATACACGTGGTGGGCATACAACATATTGCACATTGCGTAACTTTACTCTTAACAACAAATAAACAAAATTCTGACTTTTAAACCAACTTTTAATACAATCCGATACAAGGTTATGTTGGTAGAATAGATATTGAATTCTGATACTTCCTTAATGCTTCATATGTGTCAGTCGAGTTTCTAAGAAAAATGAACAAGCGATAAAGATTAATATTAATAATTTTATGTTCTCTTAGTTTCGCAAAGTAAAGAAAGTTGTGCATGTATGTATAGTAAAACTTCGTAATTGGTCAATGAAAACAAGTTTTTCCCTCTTAAACCTTGTAAAACCATTCATATTTAAATCTTCGGATATTTAAAACTCCTTATGACCGATTAGAAAAAACTTTGTAACACTTATAGCAGGCATTCAATATATTTTAATTCACTTTGTTGGTTTTTAGCTCCCTTATGGTCCATTAGTCTTAAAACTTTGGGTTCGGTTCTCTTATGAACCATCAGAACTACTTGTTCTCTATTATTATAACAGAGCCTGGCATGACCTGGTGGCTAGGGCGCTCGACTCGTAATTTGAGGGTCGCGGGTTCGAATCTCCGTCATCGAACCTGCTCACCCTTTCACCTGTTAGGGCGTTATAATGTGATGATTAATCCTATAATTCGTTGACAAAAGAGTAACACATGAGTAGGCATTGGGTGGCGTTGACTAGCTTCCTTCCCTCTTGTCTATTACTGTTAAATTAGGGACGGCTAGCGCAGATAACCCTCGTGTAACTTTACTCGAAATTTAAAACAAACTATTATAACATACGCCATTACAGAACGCTTTCTGTTATCTCATTTCAACTGTATTGATCAACAGAACATTTTTATTAAATTGACGATATTTGCTTGTCTCTCTTATAGTATCAAATCCCGCAATACAAGCACTAAAGGAATATCTTAGGACACTATATGCTTTAAGCCCGCTATTCTAACGAAAGACTTTGCATTTTTACATTTAATAAATATACCTGGGAAGTAGTTATGTATCTAAAGTCGACGAAAACAAAATAACTAAAATACCCAAGTAATGAGAGTTTTTTTTTTTATATAATATTGTAATTAATTCAACTAATTTACACATCAGTAATAGAGGGCACTAGTATTATGAATTTGAGATAGACTCTTACTAGCGGTAACTATAGGTTTCACTGTCTTCACAGTAAATAATTTACTTAGCTCAGATTCAATGCATTATTTTTTAAAGATCAAACTCGTAGGGAGACATTAATTTGTATGCATTTAAAAAAAAGAAAGAAACTAATTAGCTACGCCCAACGCCAGACAACATAGACGAATGTGTAGACCACGACTTCAGTTTCTCTTTTTGAAACTTGAGTTTGAGTTTGTTTCGAGTTTGAGTGTAATATGTATTTGTGTTAACCTCATAGTTTAATATGTTACTTAGAATTAGATAATTAAAAATGTAATTGCAGTATTTTCAAGTAAAACACAAAGTATATGAAAACAGAGTACCGATACTTACACGAGTTACTGGTAATTACAAAATTAAATGTCAACTTTTCCGTGTATACGGTATAGTATATCACAATATCATATGTATCTTGCCCCAGTTATGATTACTAGTACTCCAAAAATATTGGTGCCAAATGGCCCTTTCTTTGTTTAAAACTTACCAAAGTAGCTACTATTGAACTAATCTGCAGAATACTGTTTATACAGTGGATATGAGACCTAGAGTGTTCTTTCTAACTTTTTTTTTTTTTTTTGGTATAGGTATACATACTAAACAATTATGATAGTTTAAACTGCAAATTTGCTCCATTAGTCTTACTTCCTTTCTGGTACACTTGGGTTTTGTGAAGCATTAGTCATGTGTTTATAGATTTTAATATTTGTTGTTGTTTTTTTGGTTCATTAGACTTGTGCATTAATTGAGTAGCAAAAATGGACTCCGTCTGAGTTGGTCTTTTTGAACATAAAGAATTTTCAACAAAACTGGCTTTGCAATATGTCAGAGTTTGGACCAGACTCAGGTGGGAGAGTTAAGGTATGTTCATTTCTAAAAATAAATTTACAACGTGTATCAGGCATTCATAATTTTATTACAAAATTTTTTAATTAGCAAATTAAAAATAAGTTATTTATAAAAGTATACAGGTTATCAGTTTGATATTTATGAAATAAAGCTGAACTAGAAAAATAATTGTATTGATACTAATTATGAGGTCACCTTTTGCATATTGAAAGGTTGGCATGGGCTGTATAAGCTCCGGCCATGAATACAACTATGTTATTGATGGTAGTAACCAGCACAAGAAACATGTACATCATATATGGAACTTACCATGAAATTGAAAATGTACATTTTATGGGTTTAGTTTCTTATTATTGGGCATACTTACTTAGTGTATATTAATTAGTAAAAGCAGTATATGAATTACCAACACTTGTATAATATTTAAAATTATAATAAATAATTAAAAACAACATTTACTATTTATACAATTAAAACTTTATTGAAGCCATATGGCTTCCACTTTAAAACAACACTCTACAAGTACTAGTTTCGACATGATGTATGTCATCATCAGGAGTTCCTTAAAAGACACACTTTATACTTTTACCCCTTTTTGCATTGCTTGACTATTATTTACACATTTCCTTGGTCTACTGTTTTTTTATAATTATTATAATATATCTCACCATATATCAACATATTGACTTGCTGGTCCTTCGTCTCTGTTTAATACTTCATTATATCTGATGTTTCTCTAATATCTAATGCTATAATACTATGACCCAAAGTTAAAGTTTTTTCCCATAATATTTTATGTTTATTAGTTTTACATGCTTGGTTATAGCTGACATTTTTCTTTTATTATTTCTTATATATCCTTTATGATCTTGCAATCTGTATTTTAAATGTCTTTTAGTTTGACCAATATAAATACCACCACATTCACATTCTATCTTGTAAATACCCATTTTATGTATTAATTCTATTTTATCTTTAGTATTCCCTATCATGTCTTTTATCTTAATTGTTGTTTTTAATTATTTATTATAATTTCAAAAGCAGTATATTCTAAATAATTTTTTTGTATGAGTATAGTCTAGGGCACTGTTACAACGATGCTTAGATTAGGTTTTATACTGAATTAAATGTGCCATAATTTTCAGTTTGATAGTTTTATTGACATTTTAGACAATCTTTTTTTTTTAGTCACAAAAAGAGAAAATTTGTCAAAGTCCATGTGAAATTGTTCATGTAAAAGTTTATTAAGTACATGATAGTTTCATACCACCTCCCATCCATCACTATTTATGTATGGGCTTTTTTTTCCATGTAACCTGAAAACTAGTAATACTTTGATGATTGAGCTAGAGTATTCAAGGATTTTCTGCTCTGTAATTATCTTGACGTATATACCTATATAATAATTTACCTTTGTTTTACAAAGATTTAAACTGTATTGCCAAGTTCCCAATATTCATGAACTGAAAAGCATTGCTAGTATTTTTATTTTTTTTTACTCTGTAGAAATATTAAATTAAGTCTAAACTGGAAATTGAAATATTATATTAATAAAGAACCCAAAATAGAAATTAAGTTTTGTTTGCAAACTTAATAAATGCTGATAGACCTTTAAAAAAGAAATAATCTGAATACTTTTGTTGAATTTGATATATGGAAGAGTTAGGGCTATGAATGTAGTGGTTTCAACAATTTATATGTATGTCTTCATTTGACCAACTATCAGTTTGATCATTGAGTGTTCAAAAATCACTTAAGATACATACTTCAGTGGTTTTGGTAGTGAGTCATATACATTTGTTGCATTTCACATGAATTCATAACACATCCTTTTCTTAAAAAGCTAAGCAGTAAATTAGTACAAATGCTTAATGAGGAGAATTATATAAGTGTCTGTTTCATGTCAAATCTAGTGGACTGTTTCTTTGTTGGGTTACATCGTATAATGAAAACACCAAGGAATAAATCTTTAATAACAATTTTATTTTCCATGCTCTCTGGATGGCCTATGCTTATCATTCCCTGTACTGGAGACTTTAGTTTGCTCTTTTCTTCCTATATAATATGCTGTACCAGTGAAAAGTAATTAAAGTACACAATACTTGTATGATTTGTAGATAGTATAAGGTTACAAAATTGCAAGATAAATTTTATATTAATCTGATCTGCTGCTTTCATCTATAAATGCTGTTGTACAAATTAGGGGGTGACCATCATCAAACCTATTGTCTATGGAAATATTGCTCGTTATTTTGGAAAGAAAAGAGAAGAAGATGGCCATACTCACCAATGGACTGTGTATGTCAAACCTTACAAAAATGAGGTGGGTTTGTCATGTTTTGAGTATGTCTTTAATTTCTTATAAAAATGTGAATTTCTAGAGCGTTTAGAAATTGGATCCTATTTTGTAACAAAATTAGTTTCTGAAGTATGTATCAAAATTTACATTCACTGAATACTTTTTTGTGCAAACATCAGTTTTATACATTTTATAGTAGGGTGCTATTTGGTTAAAAAAATTAATTGCTTAATTTTTTATTTCAAGATTTTTTTCCTCAAAAATTTAATTGCTATCATGCTGTATTTGTTGTGTTTCATATAGTTATTAAAACTTAAACCTTGTGAGAAGTCCTGCTAATATGATCCATAAAAGTGAATTACTTTAATTAACCCTATCATTGCTCATGTGGGGTGGAAAAACCCCCACCCAATATGCAAAGAAAAAAAAATCAATGTTTCTTTTTACCTTATGAAATCATAGTATAGCATGCAAAAGTAATGAATAAACATGAAAAGTCATATA